GTTTTAGTCTTGACACAGGTCCGAACCATTTGACCTGTTGTCTGTTGATGTAGTTTAATACTGGTTCCGTCCCAGCTTGTTTCGTGATATCGTCATTTCTGATTTTGTCACTTCTAGTTTTCAAATGTTTCAAATGTTGTGACCACTGAAATGTTCTGTGGAAGTAGGGATAGAGGAAGACAACGAGAGAGGATTTTTGACAGTCTTGTTGCATGACATGGAGGTGTGTCAGCACACGAACTGATACATGCTGCAGGAGATCCCAGATTATGAAGAGGCATGATCGCCCACGCCAGTCGGCAAGGCACCAGATGAGGATGATGATGAGGATCTTCTAGATACATTTAGGATTCTGTTGCTTCGATTTTTCTTTTGTTTTTAGTGTCGACGAATTCAGAATACAGTTTGAACATTTAAGGGGCGACATGTCCAAGACTTGTATCGTACTGGGGTAATCTACCGCACCGCCCTTCTCAGGTGTCCCCTCAACTAACAAGCCAAATATATGTAAAAATAAAAATTAAAAAATTAGTTGATCTCTTTCTATGCTAAGCAAAGCATGAGTGAATTTAAACCCCTCTAGGATCGCTTATAATGGCTTAATAGCTTTCACATGCGTCGGCTAAGAAGAATACTTCCCATTAAGTGGCAGGTCAAGATCACAAATGTCGAGGTATTTGAAAGGTACTACAACCATTTTCTTAATGCTCAGTCTTCAAAGGCTCAGGGGGTTGGGTCACACCTGGAGAATGGAAAATAGCAAGGTTGCTAAAGACATCCTTTGTGGTTTATTACAGATGGGTAGAAGATGTCGAGGTCGACCTCTACTGCGAGATAAAGATGTGTGCAAGCGGTATATGAATGATACAGGTATTGAGGTGGACTCGTTGGAACTAAATGCTATGGACTGGGTTGTGTGGAGGGGGCACACCAGGAAGGGAATGAGAATAAAGGAAGAAATGATTCCACAAAGGATGAGAACCGATTGTCTGATAATAAACACAGTAAACACAAATGTTGACAACAATTGTCCTGAAATTCCATGCTATAATTGTGGAAGACTTTTCTTAACTCAGCCGGGTCTTGCCAGTCACACTCGCCATCGCCATGGTCTGTGCGTCCCTTGCATCTTCATAGCGTAGTATAACACTGTGGTCTGGAAAGACGGGCAGGTGCCAGTCAATCAGGATCGCACACTAACACCCTGGGACCTAAAGTGCAGTTCTCGAATGAGAATTCCCCCAGACACAAATCCAAGAAACCCCCATTCAACCGTAAGGTTTTATTAGGGCCCCCGATAGTTACAAATTAACCTGAGGTCCAGATAGGGTGGAGTAATACGGCGAAAAGAATCCCCAAAAGTACCTGGACAGCTAAAAAGAGCAACCCAGATGTTTTGAAAGAGGGATTAAAGACAAATTATCACAAACATCACACAGAGACGGTCATCATGTTTTGGTCATATTATGAGAAGAGGGAAACTGGAACATTGGAAATTGTGACTGCCGGAAAGATCTGTGGAAAGAAAGAAAGGGGAAGACAGGAAGAAAGGATTCTTGACAGCTCGTTGTCATGGCGCACTGACGTACGCAGTTGTAGATGTAAAGAGGTGTGATCGCCCACGTCAGTCGGCAAAGAACTTGATGATGAATAGTGTGAAAACAAAGCATCGTATCTGCTCAGCATAAGTATATGTCAATGGTTCTCAACATTCCAAATGCCGAGACCCTCGTGTAGTGACGTCCCCCTAATTATACAATTATTTTCATCACTACTTCATAACTTCAATAAATATATGTTTTGCCATGGTCTTTGACGGCCTGTGTGAAAAAGGTGGTTGGATCCAAAAACGTTTCGCGACCTATAGGCGGAGAACCGCTGGTCTAGGTGCATAAATGCAACACAGGGTGTGTTATTATTTTATGTGTTTTTTGGAAATTTGGCCAAATATTATAAACGCAGCACAAAACATGCTGTATCTTTGAAAGTTATAAATTGATGCTCTTGTCAGTGTGATTATTGGACATATTTGTTTTCCACTTTGAAACCATCTGAAATTGAAAGAGCAAAGTAAAAAAAAAGAAAAAAGTGGCGTCAGTTTGAAAAGCTAATTGGTAAGTAAGCCGGAACACCCGCCCTCTTTGTTTATCAGCAAATGCGAATTAGCAAAACGGGCACAATTCATTAGGGACAAGATAATAGAAAAATATAGACCTAAGTTTGACAAGATTGGGAGAACCCTTGCAATTGCTGGTTAAATCCGACATGTCTAGATACTGTTTGAACAATTTATCAACCCAGACTTTCACTTGGAGTGCTGTAACAGGCAAGAGGTAAGTCACAGTTATCTACAATGTTATATTAATGGCGTGGCCACGTAACTGTGTGATGTAGTAAGTAGTGGTAATTTTCATATAGATAACATCAGAATAGACTGTTGCCGTCCTAATGTGGAACTCAGTTTTTCGTTATTTTAAACCCCCACCCTAGCTGTAGTCGGGGGCCCTAATATAACCTAACGGTTGAACGGGGTTTTGGGTACTTTCTCCCCGGTGATTCTCATCCGAATGGTGGCACTTTGTGTCGCCGGGTGTTTATCGCTTTTTGTGCGGTCCTGGTGGAGTTAGGTAATATTCAGATAACATAATGCGTTACCCATCGATACATAACTGGGATATGATATTGTTTTTGTTTTTCCAATTTATGCCTTTATTACTGTCCTGTTGACACTTTTATCAGCTTCATATTTTATGTCTTCTTCCTTGAGTTCAAAAGCTGTAAACTCCGACCGAAAGTTCTGGTTGTTCTCCCAATCCTAGACTTTAGTCTCATTCCAGAACTTGAGTTGTGTGTGCAAATCCTTCTTTCAGATCTGACTTATTTATATGCAGCAGACGGTTGGTTCCTCACCTCTCAGGCAGATACACTCTGACTAATGGAAACACCCACAGTTAGACGGTTTTAACTACTGAAGTAGAACTTGAAGAACAACAATAAAAACAATCCGGGAGTTGGATCTGCAACCTCTTGTAAAGGATAGGCAGCAAACATTTTTATAAAAGGGTGTAATGGTCGGGAAATTCAAGGTATAGTGTCTCCAATTCATGTTGATTCCGAAGCTCCTATGGCCACTGTTAGTCTACGAGGTGACGATGACTGCAGTTCAAACCATGGAGAGGAAAATCAACACAGCCTTGAGAAAGTGGATTGGTGCACCGCCTTGTCTGACCGACGTGGCTCTATATTATAAGCAGGCTAACCTGGTACTCCTGTTCAAATCGATAACCGAAGAGTTTAAAGTCGGCAAGGTAAGACTCGCTATGCTCTTGCGCGAGTCTTCAGACCCAAATGTCATCGCTGTCCAGCCCGCTCTAAAGACTGGCCAGAAGTGGAGAGTCCTCGATGCGATAGAATCTGCCCAGAATGCACTAAAATTGAAGGAGATAATGGGATACACTCAAACCGACCGTCGAGGCCTAGGGCACGGGAAGGTCAATTGGTGGTCAAAGGCCTCAGCCAAAGAGCGCCGAGACATGGTAATACAAACGGTGAGGGACAACGAAAACGAGGTTCGGGTCCAGAAAGCAGCCCAGCAGTCGCAGCAGGGCCATTGGATCAGCCTGGAGAGCGCATTGCCAAGAGTACTCACATGGGGTGAGATCTGGCGGATGACCCCGCTGCGACTGAGCTTTATCGTTCGTTCGGCGTACGATGTATTACCGTCCGGTGTTAACATGGTTAAATGGTCTGCGACCAACGATCCGACTTGCCCGTTGTGTGAAGCGAAGCAGACGCTAGAACACGTCCTGTCCGCGTGCAGGAAAGCCCTAGGCCAAGGCCGATATACCTGGCGACACAACAAGGTGCTAAAAGAGTTAGCAGCCGTTGTCGTTCAGGCTAGAATGAGGGCTAATGCCAGAGCCAGTTCTACTATCGTCCCCATACGCTTCCTCAAGGCTGGGCAGGTTCAAAAAGGTAAGGTCAACCGAAAACGCATTCGCTCCATCTATGCTAGACTCTGCGAGGGACTGGTTACTGGCGGTTGATCTGCCGCGCCATGATAGGTACCCTGAGTTGATCCGGAAGACCGGTCTGCGACCTGACATAGTCCTCCACTCTGCGGAGAAACGGCAGCTCATCCTGATTGAGCTCACCGTCCCGTATGAGTCGCGTATGGATGAAAATCACATGTATAAGCTCGAGAAATACAGTGATTTAGCAGCCGGTCTGAGGAGAAACGAATCGTACACAGTACGGGTCTTTGCCGTCGAAGTGGGAGCGAGAGGTCTCGTCTCCACTTCAATGTACAATGTGGTGAAAGAACTAGGATTGCGCGGTAATGAACAGAAACGAACACTTAAAAAACTTGGCGAGGCAGCCGAAAGGGCCTCGAGCTGGCTTTGGACGCAACGCAACAACGTAGGGGACGGGCCTCGGTGTGCTGGTCCTGGTGTCTAGCGGAAAAGGGTTTCTCACCCCTTGAAGTCCATCGTGTCCGAATTGTCTGCCAATGTCTCTCTGCCACCTGCTAATAAAAGTCCAACATGTGTCCCATAAACCAATCGTAAGCTTGTCGCTCGGTCGTCCAGGTATGCTGACTGCTTTAATTACTCAGGTGGGCCCACCTCCGAAAGCGTCTAGGAATCGTGGGCCGAAACGCTCGTTGACGAGGATAATTTCTACTGATGACTGGTAGATCCCTGCTGTACTTGCTCCCTGTGAGTTTATTCCTATTCTGAAAAATTTTTTGTTGTGATATTCTTAAGAAATATATATATATATATATAACAATGATTTTTTCTTGAATAGCTTGATCAATATATTTACGCGGAGATCCCTGGGGAGCCCTTGCTGGAGCTACGTTCTTACTCTCAGCCTGCTAAGAGATACAGATCTATGTGAGATAACCCGGTGCAATGCAGTCGATCCTGTCGACTTGAACTTTAACACTAATTTCGCATCTGTTTCTTTTAGATACACCTGAAGACTGAGACAGCAATATGGCAGACACGAAAGACATCGAGAAGACATCCTATCGCAAGAAACCGCCTCTCCCAGTAGACCGAGGCTGGGCGTGGTGTGTGATGATTGGCATCTACGTTATTATGTTGATATTAGTTGCCTTTGGACGCTCCTTGTCGATCTTTCTTCCGGATATCTTAGATCGCTATAAGGAACCTGCTGCAGTAACAACACTGGCGTTCGGGATGAGCGATATCTGTTGGTCTGTAACAAATATCGTAATGCCAGTTCTGCTCTTGCCTCGTTTCAATGTTAGAACGTTGGTATTAACTGGAGCATTTTGCCAGTGTTTTGGCGTCATCGCATTAGCATATTCACCAAACATCATCGTTTTTAACTGCTTGTTTGGGGTTTTAGGTATGGCAGCCGCACTGATGATTGGCCCATCTATGATTCATCTGGGCCAATACTTCAAGAAAAGATTATCTTTCGCTAGCTCTGTGACACATGTTGGAGGCAGCACTTCTACTGTTCTTGTGCCCCGACTGGCTCAGTTTTTGAAAGAGATGTATGGTTACCAAGGAGCCATGCTCATCCTTGGAGGCGTCAGCTTCCATTGTGTTGCTGCCGCCATGTTGCTTTGGCCCGTGTCCATGTTTGACGATACTGATCACACAAAGGAAGTACAAGATAAGAGCTCAGAGAATGATATTCAGCCATTATTAGATATCAACGGAGTTCAGATGGAGTTTAACATTAGACCGCAAGAACAAGATAAGAAAGAAGAAATAGACGATGCTTCTAACAATAAAGAAACAAATGGGGAATCGAGATTTTTACAAGTGCAAGATCTTAACAATGTCCAAATAAAACAATTAAATTCAACGGCTGACCTAAAAACATCAAAAGGTGATATCAATAGGCAGCTACAGTTTGAAAGAAACGACGATACAAAAAACAGCCCAGCTTATCCCGTTGACTGGGGCAAGGTTTTCAAGAGCTACTTCGCAAAGAATTCATGATGAAATACACAAACTGACTTCGCGTCTTCCAGATTTAGAGTTAGACTCACAAGTCCAAAGAAAAAGTGAGAATAGTATAGATAATGAAGAACAATTCACATCTGGTTATAATGACGACAATGAACCAGATTCCAGTGATGCTTTATTAGAACCACCAGAAAATTCAGTCAACCTGAATCTTTCAGAAGAAGAACAACATAAATCAACAATTCAAGAAATCATCTCCAACCAAACAGCTTTGACACAGGATGAGTCTAAACATGAAAAACACAGTATAACACCAGCAGTTGCTTCGAGTGGATGTTGCGGTTTACAAAAGATAAAAGCTTACTTATCATCGTCTGTTTTGCTAAATCCAGTAGCGGTGATGCTGATAATGGCCGGGGGGTTGAGCACACCCGGAGGTAACATGTATCTGCCAGTCCTTGGGCTGGAGAATGGGCTGTCTCCGGATGAAGTTTCTTGGATGCTGACCATTATGGGTAATTACGTCAGAGGTGTTTCCGTTTTCAGTCCTGTGTATATGTGGACACAGATACATTCTTGCATTCCAACCTTAGGTTATGTTTCCTTTTTCAGTTTCATTTCTTTATTAGTTACGGCTTAATCTAAAGCTGTCAACTGGGAGTCTTATACATTAGGCGTGTCGTGAAGAAGAAATCAGACTGCAGATAATATGATATATTACGGGTATTGATTGGCATTCTGGAAAGTCTGAATCGGTAAAAGATGAAGTAGGGAAGAAGAAGAGGAGGGTGAGGAGGAGAAGAAGAAGAAGAAAAAAAAAAAAAGAAAAAAAAAGAAAAAGAAGAAGAAGAAGAATAAGAAGAAGAAGAAGAGGAAGAAGAAAAAAAAGAAGAAGAAGAATCTGTGTGTGTATATGTGTGCTTGTGAGGTCATCATTCGTCATCGCACACGATCAGCCGAATCACGGATCAGTTGGTTATGTTACCCCACCCCATCTTGTGGCCAAGACATCAAGATATTTATCTCCTTGCTGTCCCCAAGTCTTGTTTCTACAAATTTTGCTTGTTTTCTCAAAGTTCTCAAGTCTCCTTCTTACCTTGAAACACACCTCCTGTAATCAAACAATATAATGGCAATTTCGTTTTTATCGTGTCTTTCTTTCCTTGTCTTAAAAACATGCTATGGTCTGTAATGTGTAGTCTTTTCTCCAGTTCAACTTCCTATGTTGTTTTAAAAGTAAGAATGGCGATTTAAAGCTCTGAGACCGAAAATCCTGCATGAGGTTTTCTGCAGCCATTGCAAGCTATTACAAGGCAAAACTAGGATTTGTAGAGATCCATAGAAGACTGAAATCCACTGCTGGGCTGGCTCTGTTCTTGATGATTTTTTTTCCACTTCTAATTTCATATTTGATGATGTTCTATTTAGAGCATAAGATTACTTTGAGGACGGACGTTTGTGAATATGTCAGATTTTTATCCGTGGCTAAGGCGTTGCGAGTCTGACTCGTAATCCAACGTACCGCGATGGAAACCTGCGTGGGCTGCGTGGATTTTTATCGTGGTATGGGACGTCGCAGGTCGACCCAGCCTCAAATGGGTACCAGGATGGGCTGTCCTGGGAAAGTAAAGACGGCCGGCGTAATGCTGACCACATTACCCACCGAGTGCTGATTGGTCTGTAAAAATATGGGTGCTCTTCCCATATGCCCGATGCGCCTAAGGGCGTGTAAAGGGATCTTTACTTTACTTACTTTTTATTTGTTTAAATTTGAGTATTTAGAATAGGCACAGTTGAAAGTATAATTGCTGCCTCTGCTCTGAAGTTGGTGGAGGCTTTCCATGCTGATATTGACTCTGTCTCTGTGTTAATGCGTGTGTAATGTAGATTCCTCTACCTTCTTTTTTGTGGCTTCTTTACCAAAATCTTGGGTAAATATGTGTGTCCAAGTATTGGAGGGATGACTTTTGAGTCAATCAATCAAGGTGCCGTCTCCACAATGAAGGTTGACTGCAATGGATCTCGAACAAGCCCTGTCTCTTGCCCTTGATGTACACTCACTCATACTGCTGTTCGTCCATCTCTTGATGTTATCCTCCCACTTGTAACGATGTCTGCCTCTTGCTCGCCTACCTTGAACCTTTCCCTCTAGGATGATCTTTACAATACTGTTATGTCTTTTAATGTGACCAAAATATTTCACTTGTCTCTTTTTTATTTCACCTAGCAACTCTCTTTTCATTCCCAATTTCCGCAGTACTTCTGTATTTGATAGCTTTTGTTTCCATGAAATACGACCTAATCTTCTGTATATCCACAATTCCAAAGAATTGATATGATTTTCCAGTTGTTTGTTCATTGTCCATGTCTCTGTGCCATACAATAAGGTTGCGAATACACAACATTTGACTATTCTCATTTTTAATGTATTGCTTATTTCTCTTGATATCAGTAACTTTTGCATGTTGTTGAAAATGTTTTTGGCCATCCCCATTCTTTTCTTGACTTCTGTTTCACTTCTTTCGTCACATGTTATTACTTGTCCAAGATATAAGAAATTTTTAACTTGTTCCAATTTCACCCCTTCTCTGTGATATTCATTGTTAGCTGATTATTTTATTTGCTAAATATCAGGGTTTTTGTCTTTTTCAAATTAAATTCTAATACAAATTCTGCACTCCTTCAGTTTACTTGCTCCACTAGGTCTTGCAACTCCTGCTCACTCTCTGCTAGCTACACTGTGTCGTCAGCATTTATTATTCTACCATTGATGTTCAGTCCTGGTAATTCTACAATTTCTTTAAAAATGTTTCTGTGCATAAGTGGAAAAGGCTAGGCGACAGCACACATCCTTGTCTTACTCCTCTCTTGATCTCTATCTGGGGTAAGCAGATGTTGTCAAATCTGACTGTTACTTCTTGCTCCCAGTATAAGTTTCTAATAAGTCTGATATCCTTTCCATCTAGTCCTATGTTTTGAAGAGCTGCAATTAGTTGTTCATGTTGCACTCTGTCAAAAGCTTTTTTGTAATCTATAAAACATAAATAAATATTTTTCTGAACTTCTATATATTTTTCAGTCAGCAATACTTTAGAGTATTTAAAGTAAAAAAGTTATTTTTCTGAGATTATTTGCAAACTTGCTAGTGACAATATTTTGTCATGTGACATATTACCTGTCATGTCAGTTTGTAAATGCTGTTCTTAGAGAATTCATATCTGTGTTACTGACTGAACAGCTGAACAAACAGCTGACTGAACAGCTGAACAGTCAGTTTAGCTGAAGATGTTGTCTATTTAAATTCTATTAGATCCTCGGTACAGAAAGTCTCTTATTCCAAAATACATGTTGTGTGTAACTGCTACTTGTTGAAGTTCCAGCTCAGACATCGTTCCTCTCAGTGTAGAAGTATTGGAATCTTTTAATGATAAGGATGAATCCGACTGGTTATAATATAATTTCTTTGTATATTTTAAATATTAGGCAGCTACTGTAATTTTAATATGTTACACTACATAGAGAAAGGTATAAACAATTTATCAAAATGGTCTCTCTCTCTCTTTCTCTCTCTCTCTATCTCTCTTTCTCTCTCTCTCTCTCTCTCTCTCTCTCTCTCTCTCTCTCTCTCTCTCTCTCTCTCTCTCTCTCTCTCTCTCTCTCCGACTGCACTTTTCATTCAATGCCTCCTAGTTACAGTTTGTGCTACCGACCCCTTGAGCGTCCAAGCGGGGGAGGGGGGGTGGACGGGGGGTGGTATCACCCACTTTTAGGAACACTTATTTAGAGGAAAGGCAAGATGGACATAATCAAACTGCATAATCTGTATTGGAGCTTTTTGGTTGCTGCTAAAGATGAGATTGGAGCAGTTATGGGAGTGTCCCTCAGTGCTGTGATGTCAGCCCTTAGCTGAGCACATGATGTAAAACCTCGGTAACACGAATGTTAAGTGACCTAAGAATGAAAAGTTCGTGTTAAAAAAATCCGTGCTAACCAGGAGCTAATATGAATTCTTTAAATTTATTATGAACAATACATTCCTGCAGGGACCAATATTTGGTTCATGACAACCTAGTTTCGTCTTAATTCTTTTAGTACCAAGGAACTCACCATTCATTTCACTACACATGATACACATTTCTTCACTTTCTCTGTCCCATTGTTCCATTATATTGACCCTCTTATTTTCCAGAAGTTCCTTAAACACTTTCTCAGAGATGTATTTGTCAGCTCTGTGGGACTAAAAACTTGTTGATCTAGGATAGACACACTTAATGGTAGGCAACTTTACATTCATCACCTTTCTGAGACTTAAAGAGTTCAGCGATTTCGCGTTAAGAGGATTTTATTTATACTCTTGTACAAGACAAGAGATTGCATAGTTTGTGCCGAGACGGTATTGAAGCAGCTTAAAGTTATGTGCAAAGGAATTGACATTGTCTTTGATTCGATTTGGAAGATTGTGCCCGCTGTGTACGCTACAGCTTGTTTTGTGTAAGTCTGTCCTTGCAGCATCTAGTTAAAAAATGGGATCAGTCCGCGACCGGCTCCAACTGATGGGCCGTGCTGCTGGCGTCACCTGGGTCGGGTTAACAAAGCGTTAACACAGCGGTTCTCAGACTGGGTATTGAGGCATCCAGGGCTGCCTTGAGCGTATACCAGCGGTGCCGCGGCAATAATTTAAAAAAAAAAAAGTCGGCTAAAAATTTGGAAATTATAAAAAAAGGCATGTAGATACTTAAAAGTTAAAATTTAAGTTGCCTCCCCTCGCCACTGTCGAAAATAGTTTATTTCTTGTTTGAGAACCGCTACGTTAACGCATCGTTAGCCCGACCTGGTGACGTCAGCAGCATGGTCCGTCAGCTGGAACCGGTCGTGATCAGTCTGGCGCGAGTCAGGTAGGTAGGTACTGTGCCCTCTCCAGGATCGCAGTCTGCTAGATAATCACCCCAAGAATAAGAAGCATACATGGAGAAATCCTGGAACCCCCATTCAACCGCACACCAGTTATAATAAGGCCCCTGACATACCACTGAAGTGCGTGGGTGGGGACTTTATACAGTGAAGCATATTAAAATGTATTGTTAATTTTTAGAATCCCCCCCCCCCCCCCCCCCCCCCCCCCCATCCTCCGGGATGCAATTTTTGTTTAAATGTTAAAGCCCCATCCTGGCTGTTGTCAGCGGCCCTAAAATAACCTAACGTTTGAACGGGGTTTCTGAGACCTGTTCCGGTGTGATTCTTATTTGAATGGTGGCACACTTTGTGTCAGCGGGGGCCTTATCGTTAGTGGCGCCGTCCTGTTGGGATTGAACGTCACTCGATATGTGTAAGTGTTCGGGTAATCTGGTAACCTCGCAGTTCCACCTTCATAACAAACGAGACATCCCATAATTTCCCCATTCCCGTGCCAATGAAAACCACACTCTCCTGTGAAAAAAAAAAATCACAGACTGCAGTCTCAACAAAACCAATAGCATACACACGCATTCAATGCATAAGGCAGTCGTCAATAGTGGTGACAACACAAACAGTCCGGCACTAGATAAATTTTATCGTCGATGGAAGAAGCATTTTAAAAGAACAGTAGCTGCACAGGCAGTTATGCGCACAAGGCACTAGCAGTTCTACGGCAAAATATCACTCATTTTTCTGGCGTGCGGTTTACAAAACAAATAACATTGGGCCACGCACTCAGCTCAATATCTAAACAACGGAACTATATCCTTTCAGTAGATATATGGAGGAAATGCAAAAGCTAACAATTGTCAGTAGCGAAAACTTACCACACACACAAACACACAAAATAAGCAAACCTACCCACAATATTGACAGGACAATCAAAATATGTTTAAGTATTTAGATGCACTGATAACAGCTGAAGGAAGCTGTTAAAAACAAAAACACAATTGAACGGAGAATAATCCAAGTAAAATCCACATTTAACAAAACAGAAGAAGGTTACAAAACTAAAAATCATAGTTCATAGATAGTTTGTGCTGTTTCGAATTTAAATAAACGCCGCCCCTGATAATTTGTGTTGTTTCGAATACAAATAGATCTGGCAGTCTGTGCTGTTTCGAATGTAAATAAACCCCGCCCCTTGGTAGTTTGTGCTGTTTAGAATGTAAATAAACCCCGCCCCTGGTAGTTTGTGCTGTTTCAAATGTAAATAGACTCCGCCCCCCGGTAGTCTTTGTGCTGACTTCAGTAGTTTGTGCGTAAATAGACCTTCCCCCCCTCCCCGCCCTTTTTTTTTCTTAAAAAATAAAAGGAATAAACAGTTAGGAGAAAACATATGTCGAGTTGTTTGGTCACCAAAGAGTTGGTCGGTCAACAGGCTTAAAAGAAATTCCTTGATAACGCAAGGGTGGGGTTTTACAGAAGAGTGCTTAACATTCTTTCAGGTTAAATTCGACTTGAAGCGGAGAGGATAGAGTTTGTCGCATCGAAGGTCGTGGGTTCGTTTCACGGCTGCGTCGTTTGTTCACGAGTGTAAATTTTACAGAGATTCACGGTGATCATCACTGGAGCTACTGAGTTCGTGCTTCGAGAGAGACCGCGTTAAATGAGTATGCAATAAAATAGAACCCCTCACCTTTAACCTTTAGGCCTTATAAACAGACTAAGTCGTCCCCCGTGTGGGTTCCGGGGCGCTATTGTGGGGAAAACAAGAATAGACCCACTGCCTCCCCAAAAGCATGTCGTAAGAGTCGACTAAGTGGGGAGCTTCCTTTGAAGTCGGAGTGCATCTGCCTGAGAGGCAAGGATCAGCAGTCTGCATTTAATTGAATCAGATCTGTAAAACTGATGCACACGCAACACTCAGGTTCTGGAGCAGGACTGCAGTCCAGAAGTGGACGAACAACCAGAACTTTACGCCAGAGTGTACAGCTGGTGAACGCGAAGAAGAAGAAGAAGAAGAAGAAGAAGAAGAAGAAGAAGAAGAAGAAGAAGAAGAAGAAGAAGAAGAAGAAGAAGAAGAAGAAGAAGAAGAATACTAAGTTGTAAGAATAGCTAATCATCCAAATGATGCTGCTGCTGCTGCTGATGATGATGATGATGATGATGATGATGATGATGATGATGGCGATGATGAGGAGGATAATATTAATACAAAGTTCAATAACGGTGTCTATTTCTTATCGTTTCAGGTATTGCTGATATTTTTGGAAAGCTGGGCATTGGTTTCTTCGCCGATCTGGGTTATGTAAGACCGATTCGTATCGCCTGCATGTCCCAGCTCATAGTGGGCTTGGTGTCCCAGTTTACCGTTTTCTACAGAGGCTTTGGTTCTATGATCGGAATGGCAATAGCATTTGGAATTATGAACGGTGTTGTACAGTCACTGATGTCCCCTATGGTGATTGAACTGTTAGGGCTCCAATACCTGGCTCATGTTACTTCAGCCTTTTATCTGTGTATGGGTCTGTTCACGTTTGTTTTGAATGTGTCCGTTGGATCGATTAAGGATGCTACCGGATCCTTCTTTGGAGGTTTTAACTTTCTAGGAGGTATGATGTTGACAACTTTTGCGATTCTTCTCCTGGAGCCGTTGTTTGTGAGATGCAGTCGCAAGTCGTGTAAACGTGCGGAGAAGGTAACATAAAATGTTTCAAGACCAGTGGTTGTCAGTTGGATATACGAGCACACCCTGATGGTCGACAAAAGAAATTCTAGAGGTCAGTAACATCGCCACCGTATAACAGGCTACCTGACTGACTCTAACAGAAGGACTACAATGGCAGTCAAACAATAAAAATAGCAGAGGAGATAACCAACCAATGACAGAGACGCCATCAACAGGCAAAAAAAGCGAGGGAAAACCAACCAATCAGCAGAAAGACAAACCAACTAATCAGCAGAAAGACACACCAACCAATCAGCACACAGACGACGACCCTATACTCAGCACCAAGAAGACCCGTCTCGACAGGCATGGGAGACTAGAACCATCAACACCAAGAAATACACAACGAAATAATAGCACGACCAGCAACCATAATTATAACTGAAGCTATCTAGAACAGGCTAGCTCCCTGGGAAGTGGCTGAACTGGGCTATTTCAAACTGATGATGATGATGTCTAAAACACTACCGGCTCTAGCTGACGGGCCGTGCTGCTAACGTCATCGGGTAGGGCTAACGATGCGTTAACGCAGCGGTTCTCAACTTGGTTGCTGATGCACCCTGGAGTGCTGTGAGGCGGCACTAATCAAGAAAAGTCGGCTAAAAACTGTAAAACTATTAAGAAGGCGTGTAGATATTTAAGTTAAACTTTAAGTTGTCTTCCCTCGCCCCTGTCAGGCAAAGTTTATTTCTTGTTTGAGAACCGCTGCATTAAAGTAACGTTAGCCCGACCCGGTGACGTCAGCAGCTGGGCCCGTCAGATGGAGCCGGTCGTGTCTAAAACCTCCTCTCTCTCTCTCTCTCTCTTTCTCTCTCTCTCTCTCTCTCTCTCTCTCTCTCTCTCTCTCTCTCTCTCTCTCTCTCTTTCTCTCTCTCGTTCTTTTTTGTGTTTGTTTTGGAGATTCTGATTAAAGATTTACTTTCTTTTTTAAATATTACAATAACAGTGCGTATGAACAGCGGCTAGAAGCTCACCTGCGGATCGGAAGATCGTGGGTTCGGTTCCTCTAGGTCGACTCAGCCTTGGATGGGTACCAGGTGGAGTCCTGGGAAGTAAAAACGCAGGTGTGATGCTGACCACATAACCCGCTGAGTGTCTCGATCAGTCTATAAAGACAGGCTTAGCTCTATATGCTAAAACGCTCGAGGGCGTGGAGAGGATCCTTTCATTACGGGGAATTTGGCGGACCTTGGAAAATTAAATTTCCCGGGCGTCTCATCTTATTGGGAATCAGTGCATTGGACGTAGACAGTCGTGATGTTTCTAGATATTTTTTGTCATAGACAGTCGGCAGCTTGAGGATGTGTTAGGAGAAAGAATAATCTCGAGAATTTGGTTACAAGTAGCAATATTGATGGAAATGGAGCGAGATGAAGGCAAAGAGTTCAATTTCTGAATGAATTAGCCACATGGAAGTGGGGGGGGGGGGGGGGGGGGGGGGGGGAGGTAAGAACACTGCCCTGATCTGTGATTCTTATGATCGTGTCAGATGGCATAAACTCGAAGCATATCGGCAGCGCACATGATGATCATGATTTTGCTTAGGCTAACAGTAGTTGCATACATGTATGCACATCATCATTATCATCGAAGTCGTCGTTGTCATCATCATCATCGAAATAGAAATCGTCGTCGGTGACGTTATCGTTATCAACATCATCATTTATCATCATCAATATCATTGAAATTGTCGTCGTTGACGTCGTCATCCTCATCATCATTATCGTCGAATTCGCCCTCGGTTATGTCAGCATTATCATTATCATTATCATCATCATTGTAATGGAAGTCGTCTTCGTTGACGTCGTCATCATCAGTATCATCATCATGATCATCATCATCGAAGTCGTCGTCGTCATCCTCATTATCATTATGATTGAAGTCGTCGTCATCATCATCTTAGTCGTCGTCGTCGTCGACTTCGTCAACATCATCATTATTGAAGTCTTGACGAAGTTATGATCCTTGTCATCTGCCTTGACCGATAACGTAGACACTTGTGTCTCTTTGCACTCGTAGATCGTTGCTCTTGTTGTTATGGTCAGTTTTACTAATAATATACCTCTATGTCTGCTTCTGTCCCTGCGACCACCGACCGTGTCCTTGTCCTTCAAAATATCTCTGTTCTAATACAATAGTAAAGAACCCTTTCCATGCCTTCACATGTCCTGGGCATATAGGGCTGGACCCATATTTTATAGACCAATCGACACTTGGTATATTATATGGACAGCATCACGCTGACTACCTTTACTTTCCAGGACTTCATCTGGTACCCATTCAAGGCTGGGTCGACCTGAGAGCTAAAGTCATTTTTGAAAACAAAAGTCAGGTACCATCAGGACTTGAACCCACGACCTCCCGATCGAAAGACGAGTATCTAGCCGCTACACCACAGTGGCTCTCCTCTGTTTTCATAAGATGGTTTAAACTGTTCAGTGCCCGAGGGTCTCGGGAGCTGTCGGGGTGTAGCGGCTTGACGCTAGCCTGAGGATCTGAAAGTTGGTGGTTCAGGTACTGACGGAGCCAAACTAAAGTCAAGGGAAGCAAAGGTCGTCGGCAAGATAGTGTGCACATCACCCACCGCGTGTCGATTATTCTTTAAATTATAGGCCTAGCACAGTAGGTCTCAAACTTCCTATTGCCGCGACCCTTTAACACAGCTTCTCATGTTGTGGTGACCCTTTAACACAGTTCCTTATGTTGTGGTGACCCTCTAACACAGTTCCCCATGTTGTGGTGACCCTCTAACACAGTTCCTCATGTTGTGGTGACCCTTTAACACAGTTCCTCATGTTGTGGTGACACTTTAACACAGTTCCTCGTGTTGTGGTGACCCTTTAACACAGTTCCTCATGTTGTGGTGACCCTTTAACACAGTTCCTCATGTTGTGGTGACCCTTTAACACAGTTCCTCATGTTGTGGTGACCCTTTAACACAGTTCCTCATGTTGTGGTGACACTTTAACACAGTTCCTCGTGTAATGATGACCTTTTAACACAGTTCCTCGTGTTGTGGTGACCCTTTAACACAGTTCCTCATGTTGTGGTGACCCTTTAACACAGTTCCTCGTGTTGTGGTGACCCTTTAACACAGTTCCTCATGTTGTGGTGACACTTTAACACAGTTCCTCATGTTGTGGTGACCCTTTAATTCAGTTCCTCATGTTGTGATGACCCTTTAATACAGTTCCTCATGTTGTGGTGACCCTTTAACACAGTTCCTCATGTTGTGATGACCCTTCAACACAGTTCCTTATGTTGTGGTGACCCTTTAACACAGTTCCTCATGTTGTGGTGACCCTTTAACACAGTTCCTCATGTTGTGGTGACCCTTTAACACAGTTCCTCATGTTGTGGTGACCCTTTAACACAGTTCCTCATGTTGTGGTGACCCCCAACATTAACATTTTTTTCGTAGCTACCTCATACCTTCAGTGAATATGTTTTTTTTTCCCTGATAGTCTTATGCGACCCCTGTGAAAGAGTCGTTTGACCAATGAAAGGGTCGTGACCCATAGGTTGACAGCCGCTGGACTCTAGCACTACATGCCCATTACACCTAAAGGAGTGGAAAAAAAGGTTGTTGCGTATCCTTTACAGGACGTTGCAGAACCAACCCTAACAGCCCCTGGCTGTTGTGTGGTTTCTCTAGGCAAATTACGTCCAGTAGTTTGCCATTGCTTTCTGGACGGTCGGCTTTCTTGATACCACTGTCGAAACCAACGCAAGGCGCATTGCCCGCAGCTGGGATCGAACCCGGCATCCTGGCATTACGAAGCGAAGTGTTCGCATCGACTTAGCCACAGAGCCGACAAAGGCGTGGAAAGGGGCCCTATAATTTTTAACCAATGGTTTCTAATGTGATAAAAAAAATATAAAGGAAAACAAACATACGACGGAAAATCGTGATTGCATTATTTTCAAATGACAATATACGCAGAGGTATTTATCAGCTAGGGATGTTATTAACAACAACAACAACAACAACAACAACAACAAAAGGAAGAGAGCACATCATTAAGTAAAAGTAAAAAGTAAAGATCCCTTTTCACGCCTTTCGGCGCATCGGGCATATGGGCAGAGCGTCCCATATTTTTACAGACCATCAGCACTCGGAGGGTAATGTGGTCAGCATTACGCCGGCTGTCTTTACTTTCCCAGGACAGACCATCCTGGTACCCATTTTAGGCTGGGTCGACCTGCGACGTCCCATACAACGATAAAAATCCACGCAGCCTGCAGTGGGTTTCGATCGCGGTATGCTGGTTTACGAGTCGGACTCGCAACGCCTGAGCCACGGACGCCGCAGAGCACATCATACTTAGGGGAAATCACGACATAAAGATTCACGACCATACTTGTCGCTGTCCCGATTGCTATGATGTCGATTCTTAATTCCACATTCAACGTGTCACCACTTGGTGGTGAACTGATGTATGTCAAGCTTGATGTTGTGAGGGCTCTTTGGGAGCGAATGAACAGTGCCGAGGTACAGATACATCATTACGGTCTGAGGAGAATGGCGCTGCGAGAAGTTACAAGGGGATCTGGCTGACGCTTGACACCCAGGGGAAAGGCGAGACGGATATACAATCAGACAGTTACTGATACCATCGGAATTTAACTCTTAGCTTGCTGCTGAAGATGTGGATGGAGCGCATATCGGGGTGTCCCGAGTGCCGTGATGTCGATTCCTAATTCAACATTCAACGTGTTGTTGTTTGGGATCCAAAGTGTTAGGGACACTGTCTTCTTCTGGTGTTAGCTTTCTGATTTAGACTGATAGACCAACTCTCGTCTGACAGTGCAGTAATATATATAAAACGGGTGGCTTGCATGGTACTGTGGGTTTTGATCCGCCTACTGGTCCAGTATTTCAGGATCTCCTGAGAGGGAAAGTTTGTTGTTCCATTCAGTTTCCCGCTGGGGGTTGAGAACCCAGCCTTCCACTGGACTGCTGACAAGAGCAGGGTTCA